ACAATAGAAGAAGAAAAAGCCTAAGAGCTTGAGTTACATACGTTCCGCGAGTACGACACGCCAATAAGGTCGTGTTCTAACCACGGTCGAACACCATTCGGTGGGACGGTAAAAGGACGATACCCCAAAGATCCTTCCGCTGCGAAGAAAGCCAAGTGGTTGGCTGCAAAATTCGCTTCACGGAATACGTGATTTATCTTGACCATCCAATCGCGGCCCAAAAGTTCTTTAATACCCAGAATGAGCCCAGCATACACCCCCTGAATTTCTTCGAGCGACCTAGAGAACCGCACAACATTCTCATTATCCACTTCAGCTACAACTCGTCAAAAACCCAGGTCCCATGCCAAAGAAAGGCCCCGGAATAATCCCCACAATTCCGCCGCCATGATCGAACAAAAGCCGATTTTCATTGAGAAACCTCCTAACTAATGGCCCTGTTCGTCGCGATGAGTCCACCCGCACTCGACATGGCATTAAAGGAGCCATTCGAGTTTAGTTTCACCCATCCTGACGGAAGCATTTCCCATCGTATCCACCTGGGTACTCTCATACAGCCCGTCACCTTAAGTTTTTTATCCCCTTTCCAAACCTTCGTTAAGCCCGTGATATAGCTCATTATCTCGGTTAATCCATCAGACACTTCTCTCGTTTTGCCCTTGAAGAGGAATTCATTACGCCACCTCCATAACTTCCAAACCACCACTCCGAAAGTGGTCTCCCAGTTGGCCACATCAATATTCGGTGAATTAACCAAATTCAACCATAGCCACGGCTCGAGATTTAAGGCAAAAAAATTGACGTGAAATTTACCTGGGAGTAGACGTCGCCAAATCTTCTTTGCTACAGAGCAGTCCCGTACGACATGCACCGCCGACTCCTCCGCTTGGCCACACCTCTCGCAACTCGTATTGTGTGTCAAATGCCGGCGTTTTCTTTCTGAATTAGTCAACAGACGGTTCTTCGCGAGGAGCCATAAGAATTGTCTGATTTTTTGAGGCCCCGGCCGTGTCCATACTGCTCGCCACAAACGACGAGAATTCGAGAAGACTTCTCTAGTCAACAGGGCATAAGCGGATTTAGTGGTGAACTTACCTGTATCCGAGGGACCCCAATATACACGATCGCGTCCTAGCTCCTGGCGCGGCGTCGGGACGGCCGCGATCTGAAGAAAGGCTGATGCTGGTAGCAAATGTGCAAACAAATCCCAACGCCAAGAGCCCACATCAGCGGAGAAGAAACACACAGCTTTATTGAGTAGTTCTGGAGGGACCGGTCCAGTCGCCACGTTCAGTAGGACTAAATTCGAACTAAGCCATTTGTCGGTCCAAAAACGAGCGGAGCCGCCATCACACACGGCCCAACGAGCTCCATCAGTTACATGATGCCAGACTTTCTGTACGGACTTCATAACTACCGAGCCCGATCCTCTACTGTCGACGAAGGGATTAGCCCCATATTTAGCTTTCCAAACTTCGATCCATAACGCCTTTTGGTTAGTTAAAAGGATTAGCCCCATATTTAGCTTTCCAAACTTCGATCCATAACGCCTTTTGGTTAGTTAAAAATCTCCACCCCAGCTTCATAAGCATAGCCTCGTTCATGGTCCTTTGCCGTTTCCCGCCTTGATCTCTTGTCGTACACATCGCCTCCCATTTGACTAGGCTGAGTTTACGTTTATTGGCCGTACTCCCCCAGATAAAGCGTCTGCAACATTTTTCCAATTCTTCACAAGTGGAGTTTGGTAGCCGAGTTGATTGCATAGTAAAATAAGGGAGGGAGCTTATGACAGCTTGCGACAGAATTACACGACCCACCATCGATAAACATGCCGCTTTCCAGCCCGATAATCGAGATTCCACTTTCTCAATGATTTTCCCATAAGTCTGGCTCGTGATCCTGCCATGAATAATAGGGACTCCTAAGTAATAGCCGAGATCCTCCACTAATGTGTATCCCAACATCCTTGAGAGGGACATTTGCTTGCTTAAGGCGACATTGTTGGAGAAGAAAATGGTGGTTTTAGATTCGTTCACTTTCAGGCCGGACTCCGCACAAAAATTGTACATAAACTAGCCATAACTTCTATTTTCAATTATATCAACATTCAGCCAAACGGATTCATGAAAAACAAAAAACTACAGATTTCATGCTCACTTATAGAAAAAAATATCATTTGGAGATTATCGGTTATAGTAATTCTGATTTTTCTAGATGTCAAAAGATCCACTTTAGGCTATATTTATGTATCGGTTGGGGGAGGCATCTCATGAATAAGTGCTAATAAAACACTTGTAGCATCGTCTACCATGACAATTGAAGTTGAGACCATAGAAAGACTAGTAAAGTTATTTTGTGGCAGCAATTCAACATTACTATATTTCAATAACAATAATAAAAGCTAAACTAAGTCGAAGCACAACAACTTAAAGTTCCTAGTTATAAAATAAAGAGTATAGATTTAACAAATTACTTAGAACATATCGGGACACAATAACTGCGGATCCGCTTACCAAATTTTCTAATGTCCAATGTCTTTCATGAACATATTATTCAAATGGGTGTGGCATACTTCCACAATTGATCTATGCTATTTGATTATATTGATATATGTGATTATCGACAGGTTGATTCATGCATAAAATGGTGAAAACCTTGATAGTCATGTTCTTTAAGATTAATGGTTTATGTGATTATCGACGGGTTGATTAATGCATAAAATGATGAAAATCTCGACAGTCATGTGTCACTATGATAAATAGACAAGATTTGTAAATAATATTCTTGTTTGTGACAATAAATTTTGAGCTCATAAAGTAATACACATTCATTCAGTTGTTTGTGTCATCCGAGTAGATTGTTAGAGATATTTTATTTGGTCAACTTATAAAAATTAGATTATAATTGTCATAAGATAATTCAATTAAAATGATATAATTGTCATAAAATAATTCAGTTAAAATGATCTACGAAATATTTAATTTTGAATAAAAAGAGTATCAAATTATTATTGAATTATAGGTGTAGATTTCATTATGAGATTTCTATTTGTTAAGTGACTAAACTAAAAATCAATATATATTATTTATTTGGTTATGACCCTCAAACGACAAATAGACACTCTTTAAAATCACCATCAGATTTTAGAATACGACATACAGAACATACGATATACAATACACATAGAAATATATTTGTTGTAAGGTTTTCATCGTTTGATAGTACAAATCCTTACCAACAACTGGAGAACAAAGAGTATAAAAATTTTCAAGTCATGAAGTTTTGGTACTCTTAGCTTCTGTTTGATTCTTAATTATTTGACATGATAAGTTTTATGATTGGATTCATTTTCTTTTGGTTTTATTACATCATACAAGGCCCAAAACTCACAAAATACAGTAATGAATAAAGGGGATGAATCCAA